TCTGTGCAGTCCTGGCTGCCCTGGAACTCACTCTGTAGACCAGGCTAGCTTCAAACTCAAAGATCCTTCTTCCTCGGCCTCCTAAGTGTCAGGATCAAAGGTGTGAGCCACCACTCCCAACTCAAATGTCTCTTGATGGAACACACCCTACTCATCTAAGTTCAATAACCTTTTTTCTCTATTTATTTTAATTATACCCTTGGTTCCTTTTGACATCTAACATGGTCTTTTATGAGGGCATTTCCTTTACCTGTCTACTGTTAAGGGTCTAATCCCCCCAATAACAAGGATCTATGTCTGTTTTACTAAACCAGGCTCAGTACACATATCCAATAAGTAACTGTAGTAATGACAAAGGGATAGATAATAAGTGCGCAAACAGATGAATGAATGAGCAGACAAAGTAAAAAAATAAGACAATACATTCAGCAGGGAAAGTATCTCAGGAGGTGGTGACCTCTGTCATGATAAATAGTGTTAGTCTAAATTTAACGTATAAATAATCCTCTAGGCAAAAAAAAATCTCCCACATGAGACTTTAGTTTTTAATTAAAAGGAATTCAGACTTGACACATTGATAGAAATAGATCTTCCCTATAGAATATCCTCACATAATAATTATAGAATAGGGCAACAGAAAATGACCTATAAAGATGGATAATATTAATAACTGGTAAGATCCATGACTGAATATTAAAATTCATGTCCCAAAGTTTGCAGAAAAGCAAGATATTTACATAATCTCAAAGTATCACATCCCAAATATTTACAAAGCAAAAGGAAAAGTAGTAGTTTCACAGTGGAGCGAGGCAATAACTACTACCTATGCCAGATGACAAGGGAAACAGGACTAAGGAGTGTCATGTGCCTCCTGACACTCAAAGCCACAAAAAAAAAATCTAATCTTTTCTGTGGTTGTCTTCATCACCTTTCAATTGCTTTGACAAAAAAAAGCAAGGCCAATGATCTTATAAAAGAAAGAGTTTATTGGGGGCTCACAGTTTCAGAAGGGAAGTTTATGCAGGGACTTCTTCACGGTAGACCGTATGGCAGCAGCAGGTAGGCATGCTTGGCACTGGAACAGTAGCTGAGAAATTACATCTGACCCTTGGTGCAGATGGCACGGAGAGTGAGATGAGTCCTGACCCCAGTGACATACTTCCCCCAGCCTAACCACATCTCCTAATCTTTCTTAAGTAGGTCCATAAACTGGGAGCCAAGTATTCAAACAGATGAGCCCATGTGGGCCATTCTCATTCAGACCATAGCAGTAACATTCTTTCAAAAACTCCAAAATTTTGTGAGAAAACATCAAACAAATTCAACCCGGGACATTCCACTAAATACTTAACCAACGTTCTTCAGAAATTTCCATTCCATTAAGGGAAAAAGAACTGAGAAGCACCCAGACTGGCAGAGAAAACAGAGACTGGTTGAAACTGCATCTAACAAGGGTGTGGGATTGGATCCTGGAACAGAGAAGTGACATAAGTTTAAAATGATCTAAGTGCTGCCTGTAATTCTGTGAATAGTTTGAAACTATGGTAATTTATTGTTCTTGATAAATGCATCATGTTTATATTTTGCTAATCTTAGAGCAAGGTAAGTAAGGGTACATGGGGAAATATACTAATTCCATAATTTTCTTCATGTCTAAAACTATTCTTGAAATTAAAAAAATATGGAGATGTAGTTTCAGCTCCTAGACACTGAACTTCATTATATCCCCGCCACACACACACCCAGCATCTCTGCTGTTCCTCTTAGTTCTGCTTCAATACAAAGTTTCCGGTGACTTTCATGAGAATTTAAAGCTAGTTTCTAATGCCTTCGTATTTTAGTTGAAAACACTGAAGGCTACAGAGATTAAATGTGACCAAAATCTTTTAGGTTATGTGTGATAGAGCAGGAGTTTATCATGAAAGACCTTGATCCTGGGGCACCTTAGGGTTTCTCAGCTTTGGCACTGTCAGTACACTGGGCTTCATTTCTCTTGGCTGTGAACATTACCCAATACTTAGGAGCATCCTTGGCTTTGACTAATAGGTGATCAGAACACATTTTTCTCCTGGTTGTGATGAACCAAAAATGTCTCTAGATACTGTCATGGAGACAAAGCCCCTCCTTACTGAAAATCAGAGAGATTGAGAGGATTAAGAAAGGGCATTCCAGGAAGAGAGAAAAAGTAGAAGGAGGGGGAGGAGGAGAAAAGTATGTGACAAAAGCCAGCATAGGTGTTTAGAGAAAGATAATTAGTTTGTCATTTAGTATGATACTGGAGCTAAATGAAGGTGAGAGAAAGGAACTATTGGGCAGGCTCTGGTCACAGAGGACAGCTAATTGTGTTAAGTACTTCCTGTTCTGTTCTCTAGACCTGCACTCCTGCTGTTCCCAGCAGGCTAAATTTTATGGATGGCATCACAGAGATGCTTGCCTCTTGACTAAGTGTTGTGTTGGACCAATGGGAGCAACTGAAGAAGAACTGGAGAGAGGGAGGAGAGCAGTTTTGTTTCTTATCCTCTCTGCAGGCCAGTGGTACAGTACAGCTATATCCCATTCAGTTAACAACCACGCCCTCCCCCAGGCAAGCAGAAGTCTTGGCTCCTGCTCTCAGAAGCTCAGGGCTGTGTCCTTCCTTCTGTATACCTCTCTTGTGACAAGGAACAGTAAAAATCTTAGGTTCTTGCTAGTTTCCAGGGCCTATGTCATCTGTTTCTTGTTAGTGTTTCTTTCAACCTATCCAAACTTCTGCTTGGTTCTTTTATTAGTTTCTCTGCAGTTTACCCTTCTGAGTATGCTGGAATGCTGAGACACAGAGTTCCAGGCTAAATAGGGATTATATGTTTTAACACTATAGTACACTGTAAAAAGGAAAGAAGAGGGAGGGCTTAGGAGGAGGGCCAGATTTTAATCGGAGAGGTGAACGAGTAGTTGGCCATACTTATAACTGACCAGACATATGGCTGTGGAGCTTGAGTTTGAGGCATAAGTGGGGCATACAAGTCAGATGGGCAGGCATATACAAACCCGAAGCCTGGGAGACGGCTCTGAAGGGTAGGTGCAGACTTGAGGATCTTTAACTAAAAGCGTTGGGTTGGAATTTGGGGAGTGGTGTTATAAAGAACAAGCTGAGAGAATGTGGTGAAAACAGTCACAGGTAGTGATGGAGATCGCATGCTGGTGAAAGAAAAGAAAGGAAGAAAGAAGGAAAGGAAGGAAGGAAGGAAGGAAGGAAGGAAGAGGGGAAGAGGAGAGGACAGGGAGGGAAAGTAGTGAAGAAGAAGTAGGAAGAAGGGGAAGGGGAAGGATGAATGAAGAGAAGAAATGATTACAGATATACAAAGGTCTCAGCACTGGGCAGGAGTGGGCATGCTGGGACAGGAAGACTTTCACAAGTTCTAGGCCAAACCTAGACTACATAGTGAGTTCAAGACCAAGCCTTGGCTTTGTAAAACCAAAAACCTAACAAACAAACAAACAAAAAACAACCTAAAAGAATGTACTCAGTCTAAAGGGCAAAGAAGTAAAAAGTTACCAGAAAAAGATTAGAAAAAAAAATGACAATGTTTAAACCTTCCTTGTCATTGTGTCAACAGGATAGGCTACTGCAACTTCAGATGGGAGACAGAAACCAACTTCGTTTTGGCACTTTCCTCACAGACTTGTTGTAAGTGTCAACAATACGTATCTTGTCTAGCATAATGGCTAACATATTGGACAAGTTTTCATTCTGTCTTCACTTATGAATGCACACACAGAATAGACAGTAAATACTGAATTTCGATTTTAGGTTGAGAAAGTATATTACTTTTTTTTTCAATTTAATATGATGTTCTAATTTTGTTTCTGTCGCTATAATAAAACTCTACAAACAAAAGCAATCTTGGAAAGAAAGTGTTCCTTTCAGCTTACACTTCCAGGTCACTTCCTGAGGGAAATCAGGGTGGGAACTCAAGCTGGGCAGGAGCTTGAGCAGAGACCATGGAATGATGCTGCCGTTTGCTCATTCACTCTCTGGCTAGCTCGTGGACTCATGCTTAGCTGGCTTTCTAATACAACTCACTTCCACCTGCTAGGGATTCTGCAGCCTATAGTCTCTATGGCTAGGACCTCCTATATGAATTAATCTTCCAAATAACCCCTTACAGACATGCACACGGGCCAATCTGACCCAGACAACCCTTCACCCAACGTTTTCTTCTTAGATGACTCTAGGTTGATTCGCCATGGCAACTGAAGCTTACTAGGACATAGGTGAGTTTGAAAAAGTCAGTACAATGATGTAGAAAATACTTTTCTACTGTGAGTCAATGAATTGAGTATAAGCAACATCCAATAAGCTACATAATTCTAGGTAAAATGTGTGTCTTATTGATAAAAAAATAGAAAACTATAAGAGCTGGAGCTTGAGGAAATTATAGTAAAAACAAAAACAAAATCTGGTTCTAATTATAAGATGAATAATAAGACATGGTGTTATACTTTGTATCTTCAATGTCCCCCAGAAACTCATAGAGCAAAGGGTTAGACACCAGCTTGTTTGTTATTGGGAGCTGGTAAAATATTCTGGTAAATGTGACTTCACTAGAGGAAGTTAGACTTTTGGGAACAAACTGTTGAAGGAGATATTGGGACCTTGGTCATTTCCTTCCTTGGTCTCCTTGCTTCCTGAATACCATGAAGTGAACAATTTCCTTTACCACACACTCATTTCACGATGTATGGCCTGAACATAAATACAAAGTCAGCAAGGTCAACTGACCATGGCCTTAACCTCTGAAACTATGAGACAAAGGTAGGTCTTCCCTCTTTATACGCTGGTTTGCCCTGGGCATTTTGTTATAGTGACAGAAAGTTAAGTAACTCTTTTTGAAACTTGTGCCAAAGATTCAGTGGTTCCAATTTTTCAAGAATTAAAAACAATATATGGACCAAAAACTTTCCCTTTTAGTAATACCCACAGGATTGATAAACTGTATTTATACTGTGACAGTATTTACCTTTTGATGTAGCCTTAGTTGACACATGTGCTCCCTGGCTATGCAGGGTTTCCCATAGGCTTCCCTGGAAGGCAGGCAAATGAACAGATCCCAGGAGTTCAAATCACCTAAACACATTAACGACAGTTAGCTCCTTCTAGTAAGGAACCTAATTACTGAAACAATAAAAGACAAGTAACACTTTATAGCAAAATGCTAACACTGAGAATAGCTAAAATTCAACTTCTAATTCAAAAGCTTTCTGTTTAGCATCATAATCTAGAGAAAATTCAGGTACTGAATATCTACAAAATTCTTTTTGAAAAACTGAAATTAGAATATATATATATATAAAATCTTAGTCTTTTTTAAAGTTTATAACACTTCTTTCAAAAAGGAATATACTAGGCAGCAAGTAAAATTAATACAAATTTCAGAGGTTTCATAAAAAAATGAATCTGTGGAATCTGTAGTCTAGTTACAGATACTGTTGGAATGGAGTTGAAAATTCTGAACATGATGTGAACTGAAGCAACTAATAATTCAGCTTTTACCAAGGACAAAATCCTTTGCCCATAGTTATAGGAGCCTGCCACAATAACTTATCAACTTAGAAGAGTGGATTCTGGCTCAGAGATGACCATTTATGGGCAAGTGTAAATTGATTTTCATTTATTCTTTTGTATATATTTGTGTGAGTGTGGTATATGTGTGTATGACACATGTGTATGGTATATGTTCATAAGTGTATGTGATGGCTCATATGTCTGACTGTGTGTGTAAGTGTGTGTGTGTGACATTCCACTTAATTTCTTCAAGACTGGGTCTTGCATTGGACCTGGAGTGGTCCTCCTGTCTCTTACAACACAACACTGCTTTACAAGCATGAGTGGCCACCTCCCACTTTCTTTTTATTAAAGAATGTGGGGGCTGGGGTCACCAGAACTCAGTTCTTCTCACTTGCATGTTAAGTGTTCTTATCACTGAGCCATCTCTCCAGCCCATTCATTAATTCCTTTCTTCTGTCTTTTTTTTTTAAGTCAACATGCCTTAAATGGAATTGGTGCTTTAAAAATATTTGTTGAATGGAAATCCCTGATGGAATAGTAAATGTATCACCTCTCAGAGAAAAACAAACAAACAGAAGAAATGTATTTCAATTGTTAATGATATAGGTAATAATGAAAAAACTACATCCAGATAGTCTAGATGGAGTAGGGTACAATAAAAAATTAGCATAGCTTGAAAAATTTTCCCAACTTTTTGTTTGGAAAATTAGCTTTAAAAATATTTCCTGCGCACACTGTTGACCTTGGGAATCATGAGACAAACACAGATGCCACCATTTGTCTCCTCTATCACCCACAATGGCTTCTAAAAAGCTTAGGGAGGCCACCAGATTGCTTAAATCCATCTCGTTTCATTTTTATTTTCCAGGACAATGTCTCATGTAGAAGCATAACGCTTCCAAAGAAAGGCTGAACAAATGAAAGAACTAATAAGGGAGAAGAATCTATAATTAGTAGTGAAATTTCACTCTCTGCCAACCAAGTTCTTTTCGTTTGACAAGCCCTGTGTAGTCTGGACTATGTTTTATGGTTTGGGCTGTCTTATTGCCAGAAGGGAAAGCTTCCTGGCAAACAAAGTCATCTAAACAACTGAAGTCAAGCTTTCATCCCACAACTGTGCTGTTGGCTTGTTCATGAAGATACTGAAAGACAACACAGCAGTTCAAAGAGGCAGGGGTGAGTCCAGCCCGTGAGCCGGGACAGAGAGTCTCATCCATGCAACAGCAAGCAAGCCTCAGGCTCGGGAGATGGAGATGCCGTATACACCCTCACTTTAAAGAGAATTCCGAACCAATTCCTGGAGCTAAAACCTAATACAGTGCAATGCTTCTAATCCTCTATTTTGAACAGGCAGTGGGCTTTGTCAAACAACATCTTTTGATTTGAATTCAAACAGAAATACAATGCATTTCTATTTCATGTCATGTCTTGTTCAGGAAATAGTGAAACCCTAGAAAAAAGCTTCCTGTCATAAGATCCCCAAATAAATATTGTAAGAAGATAAGGATATGTAAAGAGAGAGGGATTTCAAATGAAGAATTGCATTGTTTGGTTCTTAAAACCAGTGTATTTTGAATTCTTCTGAGGTGCGTCTCCTTTCACTTTGGCAAGCACACACAACTTATAGAGTTGGTAGAAAGGAACACACATTTCAGTCATAAATGCTTAAAGTTGGGCAACACATTTAAATAATTCATAGGAATTCATTAAGAACGTTCAATGAGCAGAACTTTGCTGTGGGTATATGAAAGGAAATAGAAAGGGGAAAAAAAACACACAGTAAGTGCCCTCAGCAATCTATCCGAGGGATCTAAAAGATTAAAAAGATTTGAGGATAACTTATAAAATATCACACAGTCTCTTGGCAGTCTTAAGGTGACCCTTCATCCCTCAAAAATATTCAATTAATATTTTAACTTAAAAATTAATAATTCATAAAAAGGCTCATAGCCCTTCAATGTTCTTTTAAAATGAAGTTAAGTATAACAGGAATTTCAAGAAATGTCTTCATATACTTCCCTAATTATTGCTACCAAAGTCTAAACAGCACTAGTTGCTTCTGTTCAAAATTCTTTTTCTCAACTGAATTCTATGCCAACCTCCTAAACCTCTACAGGTTAAATGTTTAGTAATATTTTCACTTCCTCTATGTTTCTTTCTCTGGCATCAGAAGTCAATTCCATCCTTCAACTTTTAAAGCAAAACTGTATTTGTTTCAGGAGACAAAAAGGTTTTCAAATTTGGCCAGAGACATTCAAGCACCATGTTGAAAATAGAAACTTTGACTTACAGAGCAAAGGATATTTATCCACTAGCTAAGTATACCACTTACCCAAATTAGCCTTGGAGCACTGCAGGTACAAATTTGTCCCTTAGTAAAATTTCAAACAAGTACAGTATTTGCAGGCCTTGGGGACCACCATCCACTAGAGGACAGTATAAGCCACCAGCAGACACAGGTGCAGCATCCACAGCAGAGAGGACAAGTAGAAGGAGGCCCAGGGGCAAGTCCAGCCCTTGAATGGATTGTGTTTGGCCAGGACTGTAGGTAGATACTTGCCAAATGCAAACGTCAGCAGAATCACACTTGAAAACACAGATTTCAGCCATTTTTGGAAACCCTAGTAACTAGGGTCTATATCGTACAGGCATCGAAGACTTAAGAGAAGTGGCCAGGAGTTCTCCACATGGCCCCAACGCTGCCTTTCTCTGCATCTAGCATTGGCGACTTTTGTCCTGCTTTAAAATAAAATACTGATATGGCCATATTCCATTAAGTAGTCTTTTGACAAACTGATATTCATGTTTTAAGTTTTAATGAATTAAATATGTTCCTTAGCTAAGTTAGTTTTGTTGAGTGGACTTAGGGAAATTGCCATTTGGTCAGTTGCCGGTAGAGGGACATCTGGACACCCCTCTGGGATCTAGGTCTAGCACATCTGCCACAAAGATGAGAAAGCTTATTCTAACTCCAACAACATTTTACTAGCTATGCTAAAGTCAGGAATGAAGGATGACCTCTAAGAGAAGTCTATGGCTGTCTTCTTTGTTGCCTCTTTTCTTGAGGTTGGATGCTGAGCGTGCTCACAAGCCAAGACTTCTTGGGCTGACCCATCATTCCTCACAGCCTCCCTTTTGATTCTGGACACATGCCTGCCTGAGGGCTGCTTTCAGGGTTAGCTGGTCCAGTGCAGACTCTCTTTGGGCAACAGGCAAACACTACACCCTTTTAGTTGTCTTTTTCTTTTCTTTTTTTTTGATATGTCTCTTCCGTATCTAGAGAGAAGAGCTGAGAAGTCAAATGTAGGTTCCAGTTAAAATAAAAAGCAGGCAAGGAAGTCCTTGGTGAATTTGATGGTTCCTTGAGTTGTTAGCCTAAAGAAAAGGTAGATTCTATGTGGTTTAGAATACTAAATTGGAATTTGGGTTTCGAATCCACAATGAATATATGTTATAGTATGTGACGGTTTCAGTGAGAATGACCCTTGCAAACTCACATCTTTGAGTTTATAGTTCCCAGTGGGTGTGACTATTTGGGAAGGATTGGGGGGCTTGTTCTTGTTGATGGGGGTGTTTCACGATGGTCCAGCTTTGAGGTTTCAAGAGGCTTGTGCCGTTCCCAGTGTGCCCTCACTGTCTCATCGCTGGGTCTCAAGATGTGAGCTCTCAGCTGTTCCTGCCACCATGCTTCTGTTCTTGCACCACAGACTCTAACATTCTGAAATAGCAAGCCCAGTTGGACTCTTAGTTACAGTGTTTTATCACAACAGAAAAGTAACTAAGAAATGTAGTAATAAATAAGGATGCAAACAGCTAAAAATTCTTCTAAGATATGTATTGCTATTAGTATTTCTGTGTGTGTATATGCAAAGGCCCTCAAAAGCCAGAAAAAGACATGGGATCCCCAAGATCTAGAGTTACAGTTCTTTGTATACTGTTCAACATGGGTTCTGGGAACAAAAGCCTAATTCTCTACAAGTGTAGCAATTATCTTAACTGCTGAACCATCTCTCTATCCCCAACAGCTAGGAATTCTTAACTACTCTAATGTACCTCATATTGTTCCAATTACTTGTATTAATAATTCTTCACCAAGACTCCACACTGGGTATGGATGTTCTGAGGCATATAGAAGGACTAGGTAATTTGCCCAGCATCTTCTATGTAGTTAACAGACTGGACTGCTGGGAGTCTAGGTTTAAAGGTCATGTTCTTGACCTCATTAACCCTGAAAAACACAGGGAGGCAACAGAGAACCATAGCTTCTGATGCTACATACCTATTCATTTATATAGCAATTGTGACAAGTGTGTGGGTTAGAAACAAGGATTGTATATACTTTAGAAGTAAAGACAGACAGGCAGGCAGGCACGTGTATATATACACAAACACACACACACACACACACACCAAAACAATAATGAAAGCCTTATCTAGCTTTGGTCTTTTTTACTTACTATCTAGCATGCCTTTTTCCATCTGGGAACTTGAAGGAAAAAAATGACTGCAGCAGATATAATCAGGTACCCCTAGATCCACACAGGGGACTAAACCCCTTA